GGGCAACTTGGCGAGACCACATCTCTAAAATAAAAATCAAAAAAATTAGCCGGGCATGGTAGTGTGCATCTGTAGTTCCAGCTACTGGGATGGCTGAGGTGGAAGGATCGCCTGAACCGAGCAGATTGACACTGGAATGGCCGTGAGAGTGCCACTGCACTCCAGCCTGAGCAAAGGAGTGAGACTCCAACTAAAAAAAGAAAAAGGTGTGCAATAATGTCTAAGAGAAAGAAATTCATCTAATGGGCATTAAAGACCTTTTGACTAAGACTATCATTCATTTAGAGTGATCCTAGTCAGTATGACTGTGTGATTTTCTCCAGCTATGTTCAAGTTCATGGGTGCAGGTGGGGAGTTGCATCTAACCAAGACTGGGAATTTGCCAAGTAGACACGACAAGATCAGAAAAGACAAAGGAGTGGAGGGTGTATGTAAGGGAGGAACTGTAGTGGTGGCCCATAGAGTTAAGATGATGGGAGGTAAGGGCAAGGTCACCTGGAGGCCATTTTGACCAGCCTGGGCAAGGCTGAACATCAGTGGAAAATTGAAATAATGCACTGGAGATCCTGCTGGGGCAAAGAGCTGTTGGAGTCAAAGGGCTAGAGGGAGTAAGCAATAGAGGTAGGAGGGGTAATCAGAGGTGGATGCTGGGAGCGGAGAGTATGAAAAACTATAGTTAGTGGTGATGGTAAGATCAAAAAGCTGTAATCATGGGAGTGGCTAGTTGAGGAGTAGGGAAGACAAGAGCATCAGAGGAAAGGGGCCCAAGGCAATTCTTGACGAGGGAGTCAGAGGAAACATGTGCATTGTGGTGTAAGGTAAAATATGGCATCAAATTCTCCCTATCCTGGTACACACAGCCTTTTTTTTTTTTTGGAGTTGGAGTCTCACTCCATCGCTCAGGCTGGAGTGCAGTGGCATGATCACGGCCACCCCAGCGTCTACCTGTTGGGCTCCTGCGATCCTTCCACCTCAGCCTTCCAAGTAGCCAGAACTACAGGCGTGCTACCACACTCGGCTAATTTTTTAGACTTATTGTAGAGACAAGGTCTCACCAAGTTGCCCGGGCTGGTCTCAAACTCGCAGGTTCAGGCAACCCACTTGCCTCGGCCTCCCAAAGTGCTGGGATTACAGCCTGTGCCACCGAGCCTGGCCTCACACAGCCTTTTACAATGTGACTTTGTAGTTGCTCCTAAAAAGGTAGTTTCTCATTGAAAGAGGACTGGGAAAAAAATGTGGTACATATACATGATGGAATATTACACAGCCATAAAGAACAACAAAATTATGAACTTTGCAGCAACTTGGATGGACTTAGAGTCTATAATACTGAGTGATCTATCAGAGAAACAAAGAACCAAGTATCACATGTTCTCATCCATAAGCGGACCTTGAACAACTATCGTAATACTATAAGAAAGGGGTTGTCAGTAGTGGGAAACTGCCAGGGGTGGGGGAGGGATTGGCAGCAGTGGGAAACTACAAGGGGAGGGGGGCACACCTCATCCACAAGGATACCTGCATAATGAACATTTGTATACCTAACCCTGAATTGAACCCCACATATTCAAAATTTTTTTAAAAATTGAAAAGGTAGTTTCTATTTCTTGACTTCTCGAATGTGACTTGGTTTTGTGACCTCTGTGCAGAATGGCACAATGTGACTTCTGAGGCCACGCCTTAAGATGCTTTGCAGCTTCTGCTTTGCACTCTCATGACACTGGCCTGAGACTGCCATGCAATGAAACCCATCTAGCCGATTGGAGGATAAGCGGCCACATAGAGGCAAATTGAGGCACCACAGTTCCCAACCGGCACCCCACACATGGGAATGAGAGCACATTGGACCACTCGTCTAATCTACAGTATCATGGAAATAATGTCACTGTGATTTCAAGCCCCTAAGTTTTGGCCAGTGCCATGAGAGTGCAAATCAGAAGCTGGAAAGCGTTTCAAGGCATGGCCTGGGAAGTCCCATCATGCCACTTCTGCAAGGATGTCACAAAGCCAAGCCACATTCAAGAAGTCAGGATATAGAAACTACCTTTTTAGGAGCAGCTACAAAGTCACATTGTGTTACACTGTCAAGACAAGCAGAGATACATGTTAATAGTGAAATCATCAAGAACTATTATGAGAGAATGTCAGAGAGTATTTCCAAACTAGAGCTGATATCTAGATTCCTTTCTTTTCTGAGCTACCTTGTCAGTTGCCTTATTACTTGTCAAAAGTATCCAACCTATACAATGAAGTCTCAGCAAAGCTATCTCCCTCCTCCTGCAAAAAAGATTTAAAACCTCAGAGTGACAACATCTACCTCTCATTGATGACTTCCTGCCACAGTGGACAGGAAGGCTTCAGGGAGGAGGAGTCTTCTTGGATGATCCATGGAAGGTGAGAGGGATCTGACACAGATGTGTCCAACACTCTCTTTCTTTCTTTCTTTTTTGGTATTCATATTTCTTCAATAGACTTTATTTTTTATAGGTAATATGTTTGAATGAAATTGAGGTAAATTTCATACATTGACATTGTTAATATATGTCTTCATTCTTTTCAATTAGGTTACCCTTTCATCTCTGATAGTTTAAAATCTTTTTATTTTCTTTCTTTTCTTATTTTTTTCTCTCTTTTTTAGTTTTTGTTTTTCCCATCTCCCCTTGGTCTCCAAAAAAAAATTTTTTTTTAATTGAGATTGCAAGGTTATTTGCCTTATAGAGTTTCTCCAAGGTCTATCTATATGTTTGTGAATTTCATGCTTATGGTCCAACACCCTCTTTCACTTTGACCCATGCACATATGACCCTGCCTGTTGTTGCCTGCCTAGGATAGAAGAAGTATGGAGAAGTATGGAGTGAGGAAGGGTGGTAGAAAGAGAGGCTGGGAAAGAAAATTAGAGAAGATAAAAGGAATGGGGCAGAAAGGGAAGGAAGGGGGAAATGAGGTGATGTGGACAGGTCTGGGTGGGCACTACCTAAGATCCTCTTGTGTCTCCCAAAGCTCCTCTTATCCGTCTGTGAGACACTGGCCAATATGACTTTGTTGTCCTAGAAATGCCCTGGGATCAGAAGCAGTCTCTTTTGTCATATAGCCAAACAGTGTGCCCCAGGATTAGGCTACAGAGAGATCTCTGTGGTCATGCACCACCATGCTCTCTCTTGGAAATTAACATACGCAGCAGCTGAACCTGAAAGGTTTGCCTCAGTGACACCTATGCTCCATGCAGTTGAGGTGCCTGGGTCCCACCCAGTCTTGGTTAAATCAGCACATAAGGTTTTTTGGGATGTGGAGGTTGATTTTGGAAGGAAGAAGCAGACTCGGCTGGATCAAGATCAGGTGTCACAGATGACATGTGTGGGACACAAAGGGCAAGTAAGTGAGACGAGAGAGGGAAAAAAATTTATTTTGCATAATTTTCTTTGGTCCAGAGCAGTGGTTCTCAGATTTGAGACATGTGGTTGTCACAGGAGCAGGCATCAAATTAAGGAGTCAGAGTCTTAGACGAACTCAAGATTAGAATCGTCAGGTGTGCAACTTGCTGCTATTTTCCTCTGTTCCTGCCACATTGGGAGGCTATAACACCTGCCTAAATACTTGACAAAGGCAACATGGAAACTAATGTGTATTATATGCACCCACCAGTTTAAAAAAAGAAGTGTGTGTGTATGTATGTGTGTCTGTGTGGTCTATGTTTAAAGTGACATGCCTGGCATGTCTTCTCTGTGGCATGGGTATCCAGTAACTCAAGCAGAGGTGAAACACTGGTCAAGGTTAGGGATACTGACAGTGTCTCTTACCTTAGACATGACCAAGGAAGAGACAGGACTCACAAGGCTCTGTTCTCTTTGGAAACTGATCTTCCAGCAAAGTACTTCAGATAGCCAGGCACACGCAGGCCTCCTATTTACATCCTCAGGGGTGCAGCTGAGCGATGATTAGCTGTCAGACTGAGGCAACTGTGTCTAAAGTCATTTCACAGCTGAGGAAACTGAGACATGAAGGGACAGGTGACACTTTCAAAGCACATTCACATGTATTATTTCTGCAATGGCACTTTTCAGCCATCCTGTGAGAAGGAGTAGGAGAGTCCCCATTTTACAGAAGATACAGGACAGTGGCAGAGTAGGTGTGGTAGCTGTGGGGAGAGTCACAGTAAGCATCATTCATGAGACTCCTTTCACTGTGCCAGGCACTCTGACATTTTTCATGTACAAGCTGACCTCATGTTCCTTCTATGATGGTACACATTCAGCATTCTCATTTAGCAGCGTGGGAACCAAGACTTAGAAAGACGCAGTGATCTGCCCATGTCAGGAGTAGAGAGCTGGGATTTGAACTTGGCCTGTATTTAGCATTGGATAAAGCAGAATCAGAAAGGGAAAGGCAAACCCAAGCAACAGACCTGTGTTCCTCCCCGTTGGCGGTTCCTCCAGGTAAAACCACTCCGTGTGGTTTGGCAGGGCAAGACCTGAGCAGCAGAGAACAGAGGGACAGTGAACAGCCAAAGGTGGAGGAGGCAGGGGGCGCCAGAGAAAAGCTGCCACCTCTCTACTTACCCATGTCAGTCAGAGGGTTTTGAGGAACAAGAGTCAGGGGTTCCTGTTTAAATCCTTCCATTTGCAATCTTAAAAAGAAAAAAAAAAGCCTAACCGCTGACCACAAGAACTCTGTGCGTATTGCCACCCCACACATACACATCTCAGCCTTCTATTGCACCACACATTCTGGGAACATCTCATTGCCACCCACTCTACCCAACACAGCTCCACCCACCCCACCCCACTCGAGGTCCTGAAGGAGAGCTCCTGGGAACGAGACTCAAGTGCAGCAGAGTGAACAGAGAAATTTCTTGTAGTGAACTTGGCCTCCAAGAACTGGCCACTGGTGGGTGTTGTGGCCATTCATAAACACTCAACCACAAAAAAGAAGAACTTTGCTCCCGTCTTGTCATTCTAAAAGACTGAAACCAGAGCCAATTCTCCATCATCATATAGTAAGCTGAGAACTCCCTACTTGGTCAGAATCTTGAATTCATAAAACCTCTGAAGTCCCCAGAAACAAAGACTTCGTGGACAAAATCCCTTGGAATCAGAGTAAGTGACACCTGTCTTTTCTGTTTTGTCAGTTGCTGTTGAGGGCAATCTCGTTTTTTTTGAGTTGGAGTCTCACTCTGTCGCCCAGACTGGAGTGCAGTGGCCGCTCCAGCCACCGCAGCCTTGACCTGCTGGGCTCTGGTAATCCTTCCGCCTCAGCCTTCTAAATAGCTGGAACTACAGGCGTGCGCTACCATGCCCGGCTTATTTTTTTTTTTATTGTAGAGATGAGGTCTCGCCAAGTTGCCCAGGTGGGTCTCGAACCCGTGGGCTCAGGCAATTCACTCACCTAGGCCTCCCAAAGGCGCGGGATTACAGGTTGAGCCACCAAGCCTGGTGGCAATCTCGTTTAAAGACATGCTTGCAGCTAGGGTCTCCTCAAAGCTGGAGAATTTTTCAAGGGCCAGTCTGATGTCTAAGTGGCCCTTTGATGCTTCTGCAAGGTAATTAATAGTATAGCAATACTGAGAATGAGCGAACTTACAAGGTTGGGTGCTTGGACATAGAACAGTTTTTTGTTAAAAAAAACTTTCTTAAATGATTAGTTATTGATGACTGATTAAGAAAGTCAGCCAGTATTAAGGGACAAGAGGTGCTTTCCGTGGAAACTTAGTCAAGAAGAAATTAATTGCCAAATTTCTCCATGTAAAAGAAAACCAAATACGGTATATAAATAAATTATTGCAAGAGGAAAATATTGATTACAAATAGTTTTGCAGATGCAAGGATGATTTGATATTCAACCAATTTCTCAAAAGGACTGGAACCAAGAATCATCAAAATCAGGACTGCTGTCTTTGGAAGAAGTAGGATTTCACCCACTGAAGGCAGGGAGATGGCCAGATGACCTCTTGGGAGGCATCTATTCTGTTCTACTAACAAAGACAGGTCAGAATTTTGTTCTGAAGATAGAGGGGCATGGTGGCTACCTGTAGGTATCTACTTCATAGAGAATCCTAGTGGGTCTCAGATTTCAAAGAATAGTTGGAAACTCCCCGAAGTTTGTATAGCCTGCCACCAGGCAATATGCCACGCACTGATACTTTAGTTTTTCTACAGAGTAGCAGGACAGTTCTGGACTGTTTGGAATGTGAGATCTGGGCAGTGATGTTTAGCAACTGACATTCCTGAACAAAAGTCTGTGCTTTGTAGTGTTTGTTGATTTTCATGGTGTAAATACTCCCACTATGGTCAATTTCAAGCTCTCAACCTACTGAATATGGAGCTGGGCCTGGGTTCCTTTCACAATCAAAGATTACTCTGTGTCTGCTCAGAGATGTCATGCTAGAGTCCTCCAGGCTGGAGGACACTAGCACTGGAAGGTTCCAGGCTCTGGGACTACAAATGACCACTGTTCAATGACCTGGAGTCAGACTTTGCCAGCAGACTGTAGCAGGGCTGGCAGATTAGATGGCAATAGGGTCCTTTGGTTTTTCTTCCCAGGCCTCCAAGTCATCTCCCTTGAGCAGCGGTATGCTTTGGAGTTGTGTGATTTCTGATAAGTCGAGGAAACAGCAAATGGAATTGGAGGTGGAGACAGTATAGAGGTGACTCTGTTCAGAATCGCACCTGACAATACTGACTCGTCTTGCCTTCTCCTTTGCCAAAATGTCCCAGAAACTAGGCTCATGGGATCAGCCTTGCACTAGTTGTCCTTTGTGCTTCCAAAGCTGTTTGCAGTTCTCCCTGTAAACCTGCCAACCCACCCAAAAGTGTTGATGGCCACACTGGGCTATCTGCCCTTGTCAGCAATAGCAGTGGCCACAAAAGTCAAATTTGCCAACACAGCTTCGTCAGTGACTGCCAGCCTGGGTCTCCCCAGAAGGAAGGCTCATTGGGTTGAGGCAAGTTCAGAGATGGAGGAGCGAGCCGTGGGGATGGATTTGACGGGAAATGAAAGCCCCCACTTGCCACCCTAACGGAATGTTTCCCCTTCCAGCCAAGGTACCCAACACTCACCACGTGCCTTAATTTCCAATGGCTGCTGCAGAAACATGAATTTTGTAAGCAGGAAACATCCTTTAAGGATCGTAAAAGGAAGAGCATTAGAGACCAGGTTCAAGACAGGAATTGTGAAGTAGATGCCGCCTGCTTTACTAATTAACGTTTGGTCAAATCAATTTAGACGGGTGGCAACATATTGAAAATTTCCAAGTGTTGTTCACATGGAAGGGATAGTCATTATCCATCATTATCAAGAAAAAACACTTTCTAGATTAACTACAAAGAGAGCTGGTAAAGGGCTTTGGGAGGTGGGATACATTGACCAGTTAGGGATATCCTGGACATTGGAGCCTGGGACACCTAGGTGGTGACAGGCCTCAGGGAAGGGCCACTGCAGAGAAGGAGATCCCCTGATACTTACGGAGGACCTGGTGAATGCTGGGACAGGGGGTCCTTTTCTCATATATAACCTCACAGTAGTCCTATAAGGTAAGAGTTACTTTCCTAAATTACAGATGAAGGATGAAGCTCAGACAGATAGATTAATTTATCTAAACTCACACACACAGCAGGCCAGGCTTGGTGGTTCAGCCTATAATCCCAGCACTTTGGGCGGCCGAGGCGAGTGGATTGCCTGAGCCCACGGGTCTGAGACCTCGTCTCTACAATAAATCAAAAATTAGCCAGGCGTGGTAGAACGCACCTGTATTCCGGCTACTTGGAAGGCTGAGGCGAAAGGATCGCCAGAGCCCAGCAGGCTGAGACTGTGGTGGCTAGGAGTGTGCCACTGCACTCCAGTCTGGGCTACAGAGTGAAACTCCAGCTCAAAACAAACAAACAAACAACAAAAAAAACCTCACACAGCTGGTAAGTTACACCAAAGCCCATACGCCTTTTGGGAGGTATCTTCGATAAACAATTGGAAAAGATTCAAAACATGTGCCCTAGAAAGCAGGGGTTTGTTCTTTTTTATTTTGTTTTTATTTGTTTTAAGGTAACCCTGGGTAAAAATATCTAAGCGCTCATATCAGCAGAATTCTAGCTTTCATCTGGTCACTGCAAGACATCACCTCATAGCTCTAGGCTGTTCTGAGCGCTTCCTCCCCTGACCCTCAGTTTTTTCTTTTTCTCACTAGGTCACTCTCCTCCTCCCGGCCTGTGCTTCCCCTGTAGCCTCCTCACAGCTCTCACAGGAGATCTACCAACTTACCTGTAGACCCACCTGTTCCATCTAAGGGCATGTGCCACGGGCCAGGCTGAGCCCACTCTGGTGCTCTTAGTGTCCTTATCTACAAAATGATGGGGTTGACCTACCAGGATTTCACTATGGCATTGGTGTATGGGGTAGAATAATTTTTGCATTATAGCCAAATGGCAGTCACACCTTCCCAATCTCTGTGAAAACAACAACAAAATGCCTGTGCATTTTCGAGTGCCCCCAGGACTCTGTGTCATTCCAAACTAAGACCCCTTTTAGACCAAAAGCCATAAAGATCTGTTTGTAAGTTCTGACTGTAGCTGAGACGGCTTTCTGCCCTGGGGTCCTCCTGTGAATTCCAGTGTAAAAGCCATTGCTCAGCAATGGAGGCAGAAAAGTCCAGTGGTTTCAGGGCTGGGCATAGAGTGAGGTACACCTGGGTTTGAGCTCTTGTTCTCACCAGATATGTGGCCTTGGGCATGTTTCCTAATCACTCTGAACCTCTATGTCATCACTTCTGAAAAGGGAACACACATGGTATCCCCTCAAGGGCTATTTAATGCGAGGCCTGAGGCCTAGCCTGTGGGAGGTGTTAGGAAGTATTGGTTATGAGCAGTGAGGTAAGGTCTCCCTTGGTCTGCCTTCCTATCCACTGAACTTTTCCTTTACAGCATCAATCACTGCAATAATTGAATTAATTATCTGTGCACTCATTTGTTTATTGCCCCCACCTCCCGCTAGACTATAGGTTCTAGAAGGCAGAGAGGACCTGGGTCTCTCTAGCTCTTCATTTTGTACCCAGGGGATGGCACACAGAAGGCACTAAATAAACATGTATCAAGTGGTTGAAGAAATGTTACCATGCCTTATCTTTGTTGTCCAGAGCCCACTGCCTCTAACAGCAGAGTAAATACAGAAACCATTTTCCTTTGAACCATAGGAAAAGCCAGGATGGAAACTACAGTCACCACAGAAGAGTACAGCACGGCCACAGAATTTGACTATGGGGATACAACCCCATGCCAGAAGATGAATGAGAGGGCCTTTGGGATCCAATTTCTGCCCCCTCTGTACTCTCTGGTATTTGTCATTGGCCTGATTGGCAATGTCCTGGTGGTCCTGGTCCTCGTGCAATATAAGAGGCTCAAAAGCATGACCGGCATCTACCTCCTCAACCTGGCCTTTTCCGACCTGCTCTTCCTCTTCACGCTGCCCTTCTGGATCCACTACAGGTTGAAGGACAACTGGGTCTTCGGTAATGCCATGTGTAAGCTCCTTTCTGGGTTCTATTACATAAGCTTGTACAGCGAGATCCTTTTCATCATCCTGCTGACCATCGACAGGTACCTGGCCATTGTTCATGCTGTGTTTGCCTTACGGGCACGGACCGTCACCTTTGGTATCATCAGCAGCATCATCATCTGGGTCCTGGCCATCCTGGCTTCCATCCCAGGCTCACACTTTTCCAAGACCCAGTGGGAGTTAAATCGTCACACCTGCAACCTTCATTTCCCCCACCAAAGCCTACAAAAATGGAGACTGTTTCAGGTTCTGAAACTGAACCTCCTGGGTCTGGTTTTGCCTCTGTTGGTCATGATCATCTGCTACACGGGGATTATAAGGATTCTGCTCAGACGACCCAACGAGAAGAAATCCAAAGCTGTTCGCCTGATTTTTGCCATCATGTTCATCTTCTTTCTCTTTTGGACCCCCTACAATCTGACTTTACTGATTTCTGTTTTCCAAGAAGTCTTGTTCACCCGTCAGTGTGAGCAGAGCCGCCATCTGGACCTGGCCCTGCAGGTGACAGAGGTGATCGCCTACACGCACTGCTGTCTCAACCCAGTGATCTACGCTTTTGTTGGCGAGAGGTTCCGGAAGTACCTGCACCAGCTGTTCCACAGGCATGTGGCTGTGCGCCTGGCTAAGTGGCTCCCCTTCCTCTCCACTGACAGGCTAGAGAGGGCCAGCTCCATGTCTCCCTCTACGGGGGAGCATGAACTCTCTGCTGGGTTCTGATTCCTATCACAGGAAGTCAATCCTGAACCTGCAGGAGGGACCTGCCAGGCACACGGCCAGCAGCCTGACTCTCCCAGCCAAGTTCTGACACCCGGCACAGTGTGGAATCGTGGCCATTTGGGGTTGAGCAGAAGCTTAAAGGTGACCTAGACCAAATCACTTCTGGGGTTATCTGGGGCTTCAGTCTTTTCCATGAACTTCTGCTTGGTGGAAAGGAGATGAACGCGCAAAACAGGACATTCCAGACACTGGGACAAAGCAGGATTGCAGATTTGTAAGCATTAACATTTGTCAACAAAGCCATTGCAGGATGTATTCCTACTCGCCATCCTCACCACGAATGAACTTGGGAATAGTAGTTCTCACCGTGACTCTACTCTGAGCCAAGGGCCCAATCAGTAGCCAGCAGCTGCCTCGCCACCCAAGCCCCACTTACCCTATGTTCACTGCAGGGTTTGGGCCCTTGGAAACCCAGGGAAACATAGAACCCATGATGGAAGAATTGATACCTAATGGGAAATAGGAAAATAGGACTGGAGAACTACTGTTGGTCGTGAAACTAAGGAAGTCCTAGAGGATTTTGGGGGCGGGGGGGTTGGGCTCTCATTCCATCACCCAGGCACAATCACAACTTACCACAGTCAGGACCTCCTAGGTGCAGGTGATCCTTCTGCCTCAGGCTCCTGAGTAGCTGAGACTACAAGGGTGTACTACCATATCCAGCTAGTTTTTTCATTTTTTTATAGAGACAAGGTCTTGATATATTGCCGAGTCTGGCCTTGAACTCCTGGGCTCAAGCAATTCTCTCGCCTCGGCCTCCCAAAGTGCTGGGATTATAGGCATGAGCCACCGTGTTGGACCAGAATTTTTATATTCACTGAGAGCAAACAATTCAGGCAGTGGGCTAAACATAAACCATGTGAATAACATGTTGTGTTTCTTGAAACAGCTAGAAAGGGGAGAGATTCATCATTTCTATTTACCATTCCTTTCTTTTTCAATATTTTTTAGAATCTCTCTTCCCTGCAAGTTGGATGATGTGTTAGCAAATTCTGACAGCCTTATTGTAGAAACCAATAACAGGCAAAAGGAAGGAGGCTTGGTTTTCTTTTTTCTGGCTCTTTACGCAAGACTTCTGGTTTTATGGGTCAGAATTGGGCCTATCAGCAAAAAATGGCCTGCTGTGCAAAATGACAGTAGAGCTGGGGGTGGGGGGAGGAAAGTGTCTATCAGGAAGATACCTGCCCTTGCAGGAGGGTGAGGTGAGACTCTCTATCTTGATGTAGGAGATCGAAAGCGTCCTTAACTCAAAGTAGCTTCTTTATCCAAAATGTCCTGAACGCTTCATCTCTAATCAGGACTCTCTGTTTATTGTTATGTCTTTGTTCTCTTTTCCCTCAAATGTATATCTCCTTAAAAATAATTTCTTAACAAAACTTATTTCTAAAAATAAAAATTAAAAAAGCTTAAATATACACACACAAACCCAAACATTGAACTCATCCATAATTCTGCCACCCAAAGACAACCACCGTACATTTTCTTTGAGTTTGTTTTTTTCCCTTGCATATTTATAATAACAAAAATGGACTTGAGCTGTACTCACTGTTCTGTTGTTGTTGTTTTTAATTAACTGTATGTCATGATCACTTTCTCAGGTCAATAAATCATTTCAAAACATCATTTTTGGTGCCTGGACTGGTCTATGGCAGGGATGCATCCTAATTTATTTAATCTGTTTCTCTATTATTGCTGCACAATTCAATTCAGTCCAGCAATAATGACTGTGAACCTGCTCTGTTCAAAGTGAGTTTTTGAGCCCTGGGAGACGCCAATGGTTGAGGAACGTCTGGTCCTGCAGAGGGTTCAGCTCAGTGAGGCAGACGGGCATAGGGATGCTCACTGGGCCCAGGCAGGAGAGGTGGGGGCCAGTGCAGAGCTCACAGTGCTAGGCAATCAAGGGGAGGAAGGAATCAATCAGTCAGAAAGGGCCATAAGCCTTCTGCCTTATGACACAGTAACATCACTGGACTGGCCTCTCTCCTTTTTTGAACACTAGAGTTGTACTCTTACCAAACCGTCCTCTCCCTTCGGCAGGGACTGACTGTGTGTACATGTCATCTTTGTAAAAGAAGCTGGTGTCATGGTGGTCTTGAAAACTTTTTTCTGGGAAGTGGAGGTCAAACTTCCCTGGGCTTATACCTCCAAACAGTAAATGTTGACAATACAGGTTTTGGGAGTCGAGGGGGATGTTAGCTCTTCACTTGAGAACCAGCCAGCCCACTCTGCCACGTGGAAAGAAAGAGGATTCACTGAATTAAGAAATATTTTTCTATTGCTTTGGTAAAATAAAACTGTAGCAGAAAACAATATTTGATCTGCAATGATATCATAATGTGAAATATTTCACAAGATCCTCCAATTCCATTTTTGAAGTAATACTTTTTTCCTCTATCACAAAGGCAATATGTGTTCATTGCTGAAACAGCTAAGAAAAAAATGTAAAAATGGAAGTATCTGTAATTCTGTTATCCAGCCTCTCTTAGTATATGGATGTTTTATTGCATTTCCTTTCAGCACTGTTTTCTAAATGCATACACACACCCATACAATCACACTCAATATTATTGTGCTTGTAACCTAACGTTCAGCACATAATAAGCACTAAGTAAATGCTGCTTGAATGAATGACTCTCTGGGTCCCCAGTTTTCTAATCTATATAGTGAAGATGTACTTAGTATCTACCTCGTGGGACCATTCTGAGGATTAAATGAAATGAAGCAAGATAAGTGGAACAGTATTCTCCCAACTTCATCCAATAAGACACCTGCCAGCGCAGCACCCTTGGTTATCCAAGATACCCCAGCTCCTCCTGCCTGTCTCCTTTCCTTTCCCATGCTCTGTGTGAATGAGTCTCAGCCTCAACCTCATTTTTGTTGTCGTCTCCATTGTTTTTTTCCATTTCATCCTAGCCAGAGGAGTGCAAAGAACTCCTTTCTCTCCCATTCACTCACCAAATTGTCAGCATTTTACCACATTTGCCTTGAAATCATCATAGATAGATAGATGATAGATAGATATAGTGATAACTATAGAGAAAGATAGGGATAGACAATAAGGATAGATTAGATAGATGACATAGACAATAGAGATAGATTAGGTAGATAGAGCTAGATAATAGAAATATATAGAGAGATGATAAACAGATATAGAGATAAAGAAACAGAGACAGATAATAGAGACAGAAAGATAGATAGATATAGAGCTAATTATAGAGAGAGAGAAAATAGAGATTGATTAGATAGAGATAGATGATAGATATAGAGACAGAGATAGATAAGGAAATAGAGATATAGACAGAGATAGATGATAAATAGAAATAGATATAGAGATAGGTAAAGAAATAGAGATAGAATAGATAGATGATAGATAATAGATCAATAGATTATACAGATAGATATAAAAATACTATTTTTTCTCCACAATCATTTGAGAGCAAGTTGCAAATATGAGGCCTTGATACGCTTTAATACTTCAAGATGTTTTTACTGGCAACGAGGACACTCTCCCACATAACCAAAACAGGAAACTAACACTGACATAATATCACCATATAATCAATCTATAACTTTCTTTCCAATTTTGCCCACTTTACCAATACTGTCCTTCATAGTCCTGGGATCCAGACCACTTGCTTTACTTCATTGTCTGTCTCTCTAGTCTCCTTCAATCAAGAGCAATTCCTCAGGCTTTCTTGTCTTTCCTGACTGACGTTTATGAGCACTACAGTTACCTGATAGATGGCGCCTCAGTTTGGATCTACTGATGTTTCCTGATGATTAGATTCACGGTCTGCAACTAGGGCAGGAATCTCACAGAACTGATGCTGTGTTCTCAGTTCATAATATGAAAACACACCTGATACCAACCTTTCCCATGAGTGGAGATGCTAAATTTTATCACTTGTTTAGGAAGGTGTCTAACAGGTTTCTCCACTGTAAAATGTTTTGTACTTATTAATTAATAAGTAGTGGTCACCAGTTGACTGCCTTCTGTAAAGTGAAAGCTTCTCTTCTCCTCCTCTTATTTATTAATTTATTTGTGCCAGCATGATCTCATGGATTCCTTTTTTTTATAATCAATATTTTTTTATTATGATACTGTGGGGTACAGTTAAGGGTTAGGTATACAAATCATGCTTCATTCAGGCACCCTTATTGATAAGAGGTGTCTCCCCATCCCCAGACAGATATTTACTACTATTAATCCCATCTCCCCTCCCCTCCCCCTTCATAGTTTCCCACCACTTTCAGTCATTTTCTTATAGTATTACATTGGATGTTCAAGGTCCACGATATGAGTGAGAACATGTGATACTCAGATCTTTGTTTCTGTGAGAGGTCACTCAGTATTATAGACTCTAGTATGGATTCCTTTTTAATTCAATGGGATGTCGTTTAATGTTGTCTTTATTTTTATGCAAATTGTCTCAGATGTGTCTAACAGGAGTTGGATCCTATGTCCTTTTGTTCTGTTTCCATCATTCTTTGGGGATTTCCTTCCTTTCTGGCATAAGAGTTTTCAGATTTGTCTCGTGTTTTCCCTGCCCCAGACATAGGAAGACTAGGAAGGTCTTTTGAGAGAGTAAAACACATGGAACGGTCATCTCCTTTGATAACATTGCCTTCTTCGGGAATGCCTTTTTTAAATTTAAAATATTTTAAAAGTTTTTGTAGAGACGAATTCTTACTATGCTGCCCAGGTTGGCATTGAACTCCTGGGGTCCAGCAATCCTCCCACCACAGCCTCCAGAAATGCTGGCATTACAGATGTGAGACACTGTGTCCAGCCTTTGTCTCTTCTCTTGTCTTCTTTTGGTTATTCAAAAAAATGTCTTCCAAGCAGTCTGGCTTCTTGTAGCTAAAACTAACAATTAGAAACCAATATTTGGTTACTAGGTATGATCATTGCTAATAGAGTACTATTGTTTCTGGAACTT